CACACAGTGTTACACACACACACACACACACACACACACACACACACAACCAGTTCTCCTTGGCCCGCTGACGCTCACCCAAGATTGCAAGTACAGGCCCTTCAGGGCCGAGGCCGGTTGGCCCGACGGTCCACCAAAAACTGTGCCAACAATTTTCGCGGATCCACCAGGCAGTGGAAAATCGCCTGGGGACCCCACCTGTCCTTCGGCATGAGAGATAGCAGCATTGACTGTGGTTGGTGGCAGGGTTAAGGTGGATAATTATTATGACTTAACAGTATCATCGGTTAGGGGATTCTGCAGACTGTAGAGGGTTCAGCCTCCTCATGATTCAGAAAGAAACTTCAACGAAACAGTTTATCGCAGCCCTTCGTTTGTTGTCCTCATCTCCCTCTTCTGCCTACGGTTCACGGAGCAGTTCTCTGTGACGACATATATATATATATATATATATATATATATATATATATATCGTCACAATATATATATATATATATATATATATCATCAAACAGAGCTGCTGACGGTAAACCGTAGGCAGAGAGGGACAAGAGGGAGAAGAGGACAAGAAATGAGGGGCTGTGACAAACTGTTTTTTTTTTGTTTGTTTTGATAACAAGGCTAATTCTTTAAGCCCAACCAATTCAATTACCTGTCGAATCTGGACAGGACGGCCTTTCAGGCCTTTTTTATTGTCATTATAGTATTACGGGGAACCCCGTAGCAGCCACATCCGTACTGAAGCCTCCAACGAGGGAACATGCGGGAGCTGCACCCACCAGCAGGTGCGATACCTGCTACAGCAGGTGGGCGATACCGGCCAGGGGTCAGCCGGTAGCATCAGGACCGAGCTTCTTCGATGGGCCAGTCACTGTGCCTCCCCTCCGGTCCCCTCCCCCTATGAACATCAGCAGTCTCTGCTCAATGCCACTCGAGCTTCTTCGATGGGCCAGTCACTGTGCCTCCCCTCCGGTCCCCTCCCCCTATGAGCATCAGCAGTCTCTGCTCAATGCACTCGGGGGGACCAACGGCATATCTCTAGGTGGCGGGCGCCAAGCTTGCCCAGGAAGGTACATGAGGCCAATGGGGATTGAACCCAAGACCTCCTGAATGCCACTTGCGTGCCTTACCAACTGAGCTAGGCCGCTGGATTGACAAACTATTTCGTTGGAGTTTCACCGGTATATGACTATACATAATATATATATATATCGTTTGTTGTCCTCTTCTCCCTCTCTGCCTACGGTTTACCGGGCAGTTCTATTTGACGATATATATATATATAATTGTTAAGATAAATGTCACTACGTTCATGCCGTGCCTCTAGTGCCACAGTTGTGTCTGGAGTCCAGACACAACTGTGGCACTGGTGGCACAGCATGGACTCATAGTTTTTTCTTTTTTTCCTTTTTTCTTTTTTTTTTGGACAAATGCTCCAATCTATTCGTGGGGAGCCGCACGTGCTGGGAACCGCACCCAACGTCCCATATTATGAATACTGACAGACTGACAGCTATATAATACTCCGGACTCTGGAGTATATTTTCTGGCTGTGGCAGACCTTTCTTTGTTTTGTGGGGGCCCCTGGGGGGGTTGCTGGCTCATGATGGGATGTGAACCTACAGTCTGTCCAGTCTTCCATCTGATGTGGTTGGGTGATAGTCTGCTTCGATTACAGTCACAGGTACTCTTGAGGCAGTGCCTGGTGCGGCAGTGGTGCCCACCTCAGGTCATCAGTGGTGGGGCAGTGGTTGGTGCCCAGCCTCAACTGGAGCTAAGCTGGATTATGGCCTACAGTATCATCACTTAGGAAACCCTGCACACTCTAGACAGTCCATCCTGATGAGCTGGTGAAGCTCCAATGAAACAGAAGGTCACAACCCCACCCACCACCCCCCTCTCTCCCAATTTTTTGTCCTTTTCTCCCTGTGGTTCACAGTCCAGCTCCTTTACAAAGAGCATTGCGAATACATACAGGGCCAAGGGCAATCGCGGCAGGTTGCGGGAAGTGCAAAGAGACTCTCTTTTATTCACACCGTCCCTCCCGCCACCCCAAGCCCAGCATGAGGGCCACTACTCCTTTCCCCCACAAACAATGCCTCGGGCACCGGTGACGATAAGGCACCTCCTAGAATTTGCATATTGCGTTTTTCGAACTTTTTTTCCGAAGGGGCAGTTCCCAGGTTGCAGCATCTGGAGCACAGACTCTGGATCCCGATGTCAAAAAAAACAACTACCAATGGTTGATGAGACATTATGCCTCGGCAGCTCGCCTTTCCCCCCCATCATGGGCTGGGCTGTGCAGCCCCACCACCATGATTGTGACGAGACGTAGCATGCTTACCTCTGAAACTGGAATTCACTGCATATGCCTTGGACATGATAACCTCACTCATGTCCGCATTGTCGAATTTGGCGTCCGACATCAGGGCAGCGGATAAGGATTTTCCTTTTAGATTGGTCTTCTCATTGGTGAAGTCGCAGGATCGAAGATCCAACAGCTTATCTGCAACTCCATTTGCCTGCCCAATCGTGTTTCCGATGAAGGCCTTTTCACATCGGTTGGGCTCGTTCGACAGAGGTGGCAGCCGCACCTGCATCCAACAACACAGTCCACTCACATCAGTCACTCCCCCCTCCCTCCCTTTCTTTCTTTCTTTCTTTCTTTCTTTCTTTCTTTCTTTCTTTCTTTTCTTTTCTTTTCTTTTCTTTTCTTTTCTTTTCTTTTCTTTTATTTTCTGTCCTTGTTTTGTTTTAATAAGGGCCCAATGACTGAGGCTCAAATTCAAGATAACCATCTTGTAGGGTGAGATGGGGTGGGACTGTGTCAGACAGCAGGGTGGGAAAGGGGAATGCAGGTAAACAGGTAACAAGGCCTTGGGTATGCAGGAAAGGAGTTTGAGACTGAGAGTCACAAGCCAAGAGTATGAACAAGCCATCCATCCAGCCAGCCAGCCAGCCAACAAGCAAGCAGGCAGGCAGGCAGGCAGGCAGGCAAGCAAGGAGGCAGGGAAAGCAAGCAAGCAGACAAAGCAAGGAAAGCAGGCAAGGCAAGCATAGCAGGGAAGGCAAGGAAAGGAAGCAAGTAAGGCAGGCAAGCGAGCAAGCAAGCAAAGCAATCAAGCAAAGTAGGCAAGGCAAGCACAGCAGGCAAGGCAAGTAAAGCAAGCAACCAAGGCAGGCAAGCCACCAAAGCAAGCAAGGCAAACCAGTCAAGCAAGCAAAGCCAGCCAGCAAGCAAAGCCAAGCCAAGCCAAGCCAAGCCATGCCAGCCAGAAAGCCAAGCCAAGCAAGCGAAGCAAGCCAGGCAAGCCAAGCAAGCCAAGCAAGCCAAGCAAGCCAGCAAGCCCCACCAAGCCAGCGAGGCCAGCCAAGCCAAGCCAATCCAAGCCCAGCCAAGCCAGCCAAGCCAAGCTTACCCGAGAGAAGCCAAGTAAAGCAAGCCCGCCCAGCCAAACCAAGCACAGCAAGCCAGTGTTATGTGACTGATCCAAACACCATCCAACAGAGCCAAGCCAAGCGAAGCAAGGCAGACCAGCCAAGCCACGCCAGCCAGCAAACCAAAGCAACTTTAAGCAAGCCAGCCAGCCAGCAAGCAGGCAAAGCAAGCAAACAACCAACCAAAGCCAGGCAAAGCAAGCTAGGCAAGCCAAGCAAAGGAAGGACCGCAAGCAAATCACGCAAGCAAAGCAAAGCAAGCAAGCACGCAGGCAAAGTAAATCAAGCACCACCAGCAAAGCAATCAGCAATGAATGCAAAGCAAACAACCAAGCAAAGCACCCAAGCAGCACAAGCAAGCAAAGCAAGCAAGCAAAGCCAGCAAGCGACATAAGCAAGCAGTGCAAGCAACGCAAGCAAGCACCAGAAGCAAGCAATCAATGCAGGCAAGCAACGCAAGCAAGCAAGACACAAGAAAGCAAGCAAGCAAAGCAAGGCAGCGAAGCAAGGTGGCAAAGCAGGCAGGCAAAGCAGGCAAGGCAGGCAACCAAGGCAAGGCAGGCAGGCAAGGCAGGCCAAGCAGGCAAGGCAGGCCACCTGGGCAGGCAAGCCAAGCAAGCAACGACCAGGCAAGCCAAGCAGGCACGCCAAGCAACCAAGCCAACCAAACAAGCTCAGCAAGCCAGCCGAGCAAAGCCAGGCCCTCTCTCTCTCTCTCTCTCTCTCTCTCTCTCTCTCTCTCTCTCTCTCTCTCT